CCCCTAGAGTAGAAGACATTATCAGTATCCCTGCTGCTGCCCATATTTGCCAGGGACACATTGCAGATCTTAGGCTGGGCCGAGCCTGCATTTCATCAGAGACACAAGTAAGCAATGGCTTCTTCTCTCTAGGAAACACCTATATATGCTCACCATGCTTGCCATCAGAATCACCCTGGGGGCCCCGACCAGGGGCCTGTGTGGCTGTCTTGACAGTGTTGTCTGCCTCCTTGCTGGGCTGGCTGGTAGTCAGGTGCTCAGGTGTCACTGCATTGGGATCTGAGGGGAGGGAGATGACAGGTGAGAGGAGGAACTGCCAAAACAGGATGGCCAAGAATGGCCTTCACATTAGGCCCCAGCGATTCTAACCCTCGGGCCCCTCCCCTACTCCCAGCACCCACCCTACGGCCTAACAGGACCCTCAAACTGGGTACTCACCTTGCCCAACCTTCATGATGATCTTCATGGTACGTGTACGGCACACACCACCCTCCCGGTTCTCCAGCCCTTCCAGGCTCCCATTGGATGTTGCTGTAGGAGGAGGCCAGAGCAGTCAGAGAACTTGGGAAGGGCGAAAGTTCTGCAGCATTACCCAGAAACCCCAGGGCTTCCCTCAGACCCCAAAGCAGAACTGTGGCAAGGAGTGACAAACAGCTCCCACCTACCCATGAACCTTTCTACTTTCCTCCTTCTTGCTAGGAAGAAAGCAGCCCAGTTCAGTCAGGCCAAGAGTAAGCCCATCCTGCAGAGGCACTGCTCCCCTCCCATGATCAGGCCTTGGCCTCTCTTTTCTCGGGGGCAATGCTAAGGGATGCCTTGGGAGATGCTGCTCACAGGTAAAGCACTGGGAACCAGCATCAAAGAGAGGCTTCTACACACAAGAAGGAAATCTAGATTAGGAGTTAGCAGAATTGGGCTAGAGTCCCAATCCTATCTCCAACTTCCTGTGAAATAAGGCAAGAAGACTGGTGCCTCAGTTTCCCAAAAAGAAAAAGGCTGAACAGATCCCCAAGGGCTCTGCCAACTCTGCCATTCCTAAGATTAGCTCTTATGTGGGCAAACCAAAGGAGAGAAAGCAATATGACTGGAGGCCTCTCCCACCCAACCTTTGGAGACAAGGCAAGCACGGAGTAGGCCATGTGGTGAATGTTGGGGCAAGAATGCCAAGGCCACGCTGAGAGAAAGCAGGCCAGTCTTCCAGGGGCAGGGCCATAACTGTGTGTGATATCACTGAACCACTCAGAAGCCCCCACGGCTACAGGAGGAGAGAGAGCTATGCCCAGGAAGAGAGCGCCACATGATGGGAGGAGACTCACAGGTAATATAGTAGTCATGGTGCTTTTTGAACTCCAGGCCCATGTAGTTGGGGCTGAACTCCTGGAACTTGATGGTAAAGCGAATTTCCTGCTCTGGCCTATTGCAGGTGACCAGCACATTGGGGTCGAGCACGGTACTGCAGGCAGCTGCCTGCTCTGGCCGTACCAGGTACAGCTTGTAGTACTCATAGGGCCTCCCTGCTTCTGCTCGGGGGCAGATGATGTCCAGCTTGTCTCCAATCCTCGGGTAGATCACCAAGCCCTTCCCACTCAGAAACCTGTCCAGAAGAGAGAAGATGGTCAGCCTCAGGACTGGGGGGTCTTGGCCCATCCCAGAATCAGGGGAGTGGACAGTGAGGGCCAGGCTATGCCTACTGAGTGGAGATGGCGAGAGCAGGCCATGTGCCCTTCCTCCATCCTCAAGCTGAGGGTGGAGAGACTCACACTGCCAGCAGGGTGTGGAAGGGGTGGTCCATGGGCAAGGCTGCCGGGCTCTAAGTGGTTGGTAGGGTGGGGCACTGCCTACCTAGGGGAGCCCTTTGTCCTAATGTGGCATTTCCGCAGGGGGCTGACGTGGCTAAATGGGCTGAGTACCAAGGTGTCATGCCCAGGCTGCCTGGAGGTAGCGGCCCTTTCCCTCTACCCCTAGCACACTCATATTCCTTTATGGCCACTGCTACCTACCTACAGACACACACACACACACACACACACACACACACACACACAGAACAAGTCTGAACATGCCTTAGCCACCACCCACGCAACTCCCAGTTAAAGGCTGGGGAGCTCACCTGACCGGGACCCGTGCCTTTTCCCTCATTCTTGTTAATCTTGAGCATGATGGGGAGATAGGAACAGGTATTGCCTATAGCTGAAGGGAGGATGGTCATAGTCTCTGGCTATGTGCAACTCCATACTACTGGCAAGCCGCCTCACCCTTGTAATGTGAGAGCCTGAATCCCTGAACAACCAGACTCATTCCTAAGAGGAGAGGGAAGGAGGAAAGCGGACCAACTAGGAACAACAGAACATATACGATAGGACCTCAGGTATTCCACTCATTCATGTTCTAACCCCTCACCTCCATACCACTCCTACTGCTGATAATGAGAGCAGATGGACAAACATCTTTTGAGCCAGAATTTATGATCTAACCTAGAAGGCCAGGCACTTGGGGAAAGCAGGGGAGGCCAGCTGCCCAGGGCCACCTATTCACTAGACACTCTCCCTGCCTAATTGTACAGTAAGAAAGGGGAAGTATGGTGGCCATTTCAGAGCCTGGTCTGGCTAGAGCTGAGAGTAAGGCAGAGTAGGAGGAAGAACATAGGCTTTGGAATCAGACTCCCAGACTAGGCTCTTACTAGCGCTGCAGCCTTCAGTGAACTTCCTGACTCCTCTGGGAGTCAGTTCCCTCACTTATGGCCTGGGGTGGTAAGAGCCCCTACTTCCAGGGTTGTGGAAGGGAGGCAAAATAGCATATGGAGAGCACCTAGCACATTCTCGGTGCTCAATATGTTTGAATCCTTCTTAGAAATAGTTTGCTAAGAGACAGAAGATCAGATACTAATGCTAAGTTCTTATGAGCCCAGTCTTAGTTTTTTCACTGCGAAATAGAAAGTGAAGACACAGCCCCACTGTCAAGGACTTTATTGTTTGATTTCACTGAGAAAAGGAAATGTAGCACATTCTGGTGATAGACAGCTTCAGACAATCTTTATGAGGATGGTACTTCAAACAGCCAGGGCTGGAGACAATGAGAGGAAGGAGATGGTCCACCTGACCAGGATGGTCAGAGATGGTTCCATAGAAAGAGCAGGATACAGCCAGGCACGGCCGTGCATGTCTGTAATCCCAGCATTTTGGGAGCAGAGACAGGAGGATCAGAGGTTCAAGCCAAGCCTGGGTAACTGAGCAAGACCCTGTCTCAGAATAAAAAATGGCTTCAAGTGTAGCTCAGTGCAAAGGCCCTTGGTTCAATTCCCAGTACTGAAAAAAGGAAAGAAGAGAAAAAGGAAGAGGAGGACAATGGTGGGTCCTGGGTGAAAAAGATGTTAACACAGAGCAAGACTAAACAGCAGTGGCTGGCGCAGCTTGGCTAGGAGAGGCAGAGAAGAAGAAAAGAGGCGGAAATCAGGTAGGGCCAGACTAAGGTCTCAAGGGCCTGGACAGGCAGTGGGGGTTTCATCTCACTGCTGACAGACCCTCTAGAAAGAGGGTCAATCGAGAGCTGAAAGCAGTGCTTACAGGGAGTGAAGCTGACAGCATCACACAGCTACGTTGGTGAAGAATACCAGCTCATAGGTTATTACCATCCCCTGGGGAGAGGGCCAGTGGGACAGTGCGGACAAGCAATGAGGACCTACTCTGGATAAATACTTTCATCAGAATCCCCATCAAAGGCAGGGAACTGAAACCTCACTAGGCAAGGAGGAGAATTCACTGTGTAGGTGAAGCAGATGAGGAAAGCCCGCCCTCCTTCCCTATCAAGCGACCCTCTGGGAAGCTGGGAGTTATCATTTTGAGGCATTGGAGGGTAAAAGCCAGAATGGGATGGCCTACCCTTTAGCACCTAACTTTATACTTCTACAGGGTCCAGAAAGGAAGCAGGGATGGGACACAAGTCCAAATAAACATTTGAGAGGGAATGCCCCACCCCCTGCACCATAACAAGCCCACAAATTTCACAAAAGCTTCTGTAATTCCCAAGCTATTTTTCACTTTCCATTGCTCATACTGGTTCCGTCCATATGGCAAGAACAGACTATTTCTAACATTGTAGAGCCCAGAGGAACTGTAGAAGCCTAGAGAGTCCAGATCCTTCAGATGAGGGAAGGATCAGATGAATGTTCCCATTGAAGAGAGGTGTTCAAGGCCAATGCCAAAGGCCTAAACCCTATGGTAATTCGCTAGGGATCTAAGAGGACCTAAACCAATGGTTGACTCTTACAAAGTTACACTTCAACAAGACATAAATGTCTACACAGACAGCCTGCAAGGGAGACAGGCCAGCTGACCTTTCTAACCACTTGGCCGGTGCCCCAGGATTGGAACATGGTTTGTAGCTAGTTCTTCTACCTTGAACCCAGAGACGTTAAAGAATCAGATGTCTACATGGTGCGGGAGGGGGAAGAAGAACTATTGCCCCCATCGCCCCTCAGAGTCTCTTCAACCTCAGTGAACAGACTTCATACATATTCATCAGTTCATTTGCATAGCAGCTGGCAAAGGGAAACTCACCTTCCCCTAAAGTGCAGAAATAAGAGGAGCCTGATGAGACCTGTAGTCTCTGACCCTGATCCCTCACACCAGTACCTTCTTAGTATCTTTCCCTAAGTGGGCAAACTTCATCTAAGCCCATGATAAGTCCAAGAAAGCGTGAGGGATCACAAGGGGTGGGCATGTAGCCAAAGAGACAGAAGCCCAAAACCAGGTACAACACCAGTGATACTTTATAGGGGTTTCCTAAGTCGCCCCTTTTTCTCATCAGGTTAGGAGAAGAAGGTAGGAAAGGAGGAATAGGGATGTCTCCAAGTTAAACTCTTTATCTCCTACCTGTGAAAAACCACTACCCTGCCCCCATTATCAATCCAAGCTTTCCTGCCTGGGGCCACCCCAGACAAAGCCCTGTTCGGGGAAAATAAGGGGATTGACACAGCCCAGCAGGAAGGCCCACATAGGTCGCCATGGTAACCCCTGAAGCCTTTCCCTCCCAGCTCTGACAGCCCTGGGACCCCAGGGAGCCACCCTAGGGAGTAAAAGACTTGGACGAGGCCCTATGAACTGTTCTAGCTCCTTTCTTATGGCCTGCTCCTTACCCTCCACCCTGAGATTAGAAGTACTGCCATGACTGCTCAAATGGATCCTGGGACGTGAAAAGCCTACAGGATCTGGGGAAAGACCCTGGATTAGTCAGAAACTAATGGATCCCCACCAGCCTCCCCACCTCCTGCATCCTTTGCCCAGATGAGCTTGTCTGGCCTTACACATACTATCTACAGAGGGGAGAGCTTGCAGGTGGGACAACCATACCCAAAAAGCTGCCCATGACCCACCAGGTCTACACTACCTTCCTCCCACCCCTCCATCAGACCATAACAGATTGTGGGCAGAGAGTGGCCAAAGGGGGAGCCTAATTTCAGGCCATGCAGATCCAAGTTGGTGGAAGACTGTATCTACAGCCTTGTTTTGGTGACCCTAACACTACTGTGCCCCTACAGGGGCTAAGACCCTCAGGGTGCTAAGACCAGCCTAGACCCCAAGCCAGAGCTCAAGCCTGCACTCATCACAGCTAGGGTGGGGAGCCCCCAAATTAAAGGCTCCTCTTTCACTAGCCCAGCTCCACCCAGCCCCTGAGGCGGCAGGAACAGGCCTGGCATGTCCCAGCAGTGCCCGCCCAGGTGTGGGTGGGCAGGTACAGCAGCTGGGTCCTGGCACACACACAGCTCTGTCGGAGGGAGGGAAGCCAGGAGAGTCCCAGAGGAAGTCACCTCCCCACCTACATGAACTATGCCCTCTCTCTGCCTAACCTAGTGTTCACTGGGGGGTTAACACCCCTTCCGGTTGTCTGCTTTCCATGGGGTGCCTGAGAGGGAAAGACTCCTAACCCAGACAGAAACCCAAGGAGCTACTCAGAGCTCAGAGGATAGTGCCAGGCAGTGAGTTGGCTGCCTCTGGTTCAGGTCACTGGAACAGCCTGCCCTTGGATGTAGTCCTAAGAAAGTTAAACGAGGAAGCCAAAATATGGCTCACCTCACCCAGACAGAGCCTGAGTCACAAGGACAAATGCAAGCACACCTGTGAGATGAGAGGAGAACCCAGGGGCAGCAGGAGCCAGCACCTCTTCCCAAACCCCAACTAGAATTCCTATCTCTCCTATATTTTAAGGCAGCAGGAAGGTACACAAAGAATGACACCAAGCATAGCTCTGCTCCCTTAAATAAGTCACTGACTGACCTCAGACACATCACTTCCCTTTTCTGAGCCTGTGCCTCAGTGTCTAGAAAATGGAACCAGTATCTACTTCCCAGGGCTGTTGGGAACATCAGATGAGATCATATATGAGAAGGCACTGTAAGTAGCAAGGTGCTGCCTGCTTATTAGCATACCAACCGCAGTATCACTTAAAAGTAGAAGCTGAAAGTGCTTACACCTCTGGCTGCAGCACCCTGACCCAAAACCACTATCAAAAACATACCCAGGAGGGGCTTCTACTGTCTGTGGGGCAAGGACCTCAAAACATTCCCCCACCTCGGTTCCCCTAACAACCACAGGGTGGACCCTCCCCCAAACCTGGTATTCCCATGGCAGCCAGCAGCCTCCTGGATGGCCCATAGTCCTAACCCCCCAAGAAAACAGTGTGCACAGTAGTATCCAGGGCCCATCCATCCCTTCACCTGAGCTGGTAAGGCAACAAAAAGCACAAGGGAAAAAAGGAAACCCTCGATTCAGTCCCCACCTCAGCCTTGCACAGGCCCTGCTTTCTCTGGCCTAGCTGCCCTGGGTAGGGGTAGGTGCTGGGAGGTAGGACAACAGGAACAGCTGGGTTCCCATCACTCCAAGGCCCCTGCCTGTGGTTGATCAGCCACAGAGTAGAAGAGGTCAGGTCCCTGCCACCCCAGAAAGGGGCCCCTTTAGCTGGTCTCCCCAGGACTGTGAGCTAGAACAGCTGTGAGGACGCTGGGTGGGACCAACACTTTGGCTTGAAGCAGGCAAGTATGGGTTGGGGTCAGCAGCTGCCTCCACCCATACTCCAGTCAAGGGTCTCGAACACCAAGCTGAACCCCTAGCCTTTGAAGGAAGATCTTTAATGTGGTTGCAGGCATATTCTTACTCCCTGGAGGTGGGGCAACCTAAATGGGGGGCAGGAAGAGGTCAGAACAGTACTGAAAGACTGAACTACAGCAGCTGGACTTGGCTAAGGACTCAAGTGTGAGGCCTGCTGGCTGCCCCAAGCTCCCAATGGAGAGGGGCAAGGCTGGGGGGAGACCACCCTGGGCCTCTCAACCATTTAGTCTATAGCCCCCCACTCAGTTGTGCAAGCACACACTCTGGTTGCCACCAACAGTACTGGGACAAACTCATCTCCCCACCCCAGGCTCTTGGGGGCAGGCAGAAGCTCTTGCCACCCAGGGATGACCACAGCGGTGGAAGGCTCCAGCACTAATTTGGGGGAGAGGCCAGGAAACTTGAGCTGTCCCTATGGCTTCTCTTCCCAGTTCGGGCTGGGGCTCTACATCCTGGAACCTGGAAGCAGACCCCCAGTCCCAATTCTTTATTTTGATTTTTTTTTCCCAAGGAGGAAGCAATTAAGCAGGGTTTATAGGCACTGGGAGATTTTTTTGGTGTGTGTGTGGGGGGGGGGTTGCCAGCTCCTGAAGGGGCTGAGCAGAGACCAAAAGCCAGGAGAAGATGAAAGGAGGAAAGAGAGAAAATGAGCCTGCGATGACAACGGAGAGCACGGGCATGTGCGAGAAACAAAAGGACTTGAGAAAAAGAGGCAGAGAGTGACTAAGAGTGAGAGGGAGTGTGAAAAAGCAGGAGAGCAGGCGAGCCTAGCAGGCGGAGAGGGGAGGTAAAAGTGGCTCAGGGAGGCTACAGAGGGTGAGAGGGTGAGCAACATGGGCCTGAGAAGGGACCTCCGGTGGGACCTAGGTAGACAGACAGAGAGACGGTTTATTTGAAAGGCTGTGTCAGCCTTCAGGTTGGGTGTGGCGGCCGGGCAGCCCCCAGAGCTCCAGCTGAGCTGAAGCTGAGGGCAGTGACTCCCTCCTGTCCTCCTGCCCCCTACTCCCAGCCAACACACACAGACAACCCTTCATTCCAGACCCCTGAGCGTACAAGGAACTTGGGGAGGGAGCAGTGCACCAGGATAGGTGCCGGACAATTCCCAGGATCTTCTCAATTACAGGATGGAATTTGGGCAGGTTCTACTGAATCTACAGCCACCCCTATCCACACCTCAAGATGCTTGCCCTCATTTTGAGAAGGAAAGGCAGAAGTGATACATCCTACCCAATCCATAAACTGGTCCAGCACACTAAAGGCTCAGAACACAAAAAGGAGACTCAGACAGATCTTGTTTCTCTCAGTCCCTCAACTCTGCAAGTCGGCTCCTTTCCAGCTGCGGAATTGCAAGCTATCTCTGGAGACCCGAGAGAGCAATTAGGTCACTCCCATGAGCCCCCAGGATGGGCTACTCCAGGCGGATTTCAACTCTATTGGCTCAAAGCATTTCCAGCCTCCACACTTACAGGGGAGAACTGGGCACTTCACGACCTTTCCTCCAGGCTCATTAGCCCAGGGCCCAGGCTCATTAGCCCAGGGCCCTCAGACCATTTTGAGCTCCTGCAGTTAGCAGATTGCTACACCCAATTTGGCATCTTGGTAGGGGAGAAATTCTTGTCAGTCCTTTTCCTGGTACAAGGCAGAGCCCTTCACTCTGATCCTAGTTTAGTCATCCCACCGACCTGTAACAGCATCCTATATCAACCCAAAGAGAACTAAAGAAGCTGCCTTCTCCCAGTCCAGGGCTAAGAGGTGTACTGCCCCCCCCCCCGGGACCCGGGATCCAAGAGGCCAAAGCAGGCAGGAGCCTGGGAAGTTAGTGGGGCGCCCTGCAAGAGTGTACAGGAAGAAATTGCAGTTACAGTAATTGGAAAGCATGGATGGGGCAGGTCAGGGGACCCCAGTGTGCCACTAAGTGGGGTTGTCCACACACTGCTGGGACCTCCAGAAAACAGGGAAGAGAGACTTTGACCCTGAATTCCAACCGGGAGTCCTGGCTTCAAAAAAAGAAAAGGTCCAGAGGTCACAACAGGCCCAGCAACTCCCTACTAACAGCCCACAAACCACTGAGCCACCGCCCTAAAAGGTGTGTGTGTTGTTTGGAGATGGGGGAGAGTTGTGAAGGGGAAGAATCTTCTTTATATCGCTGCTCCCCACACCCCGGCCCAGAAAACCTCTCAGAGAAAGCCAAGCACTACTTTCCGATCTAAGGGACACAGAGTCGGGTGACCAACGGAACCTGCCTGGGAAGGAATCGTTCGTTCCGACCCACCTCCCATGCAGGCTTCCC